CCCCCAAGAGGGGCTGCTGCTGGTGCAAACCCAGACCAGGTGGTTTATTCACTTCATATTTATTTTTCACAAAGACTGTACAAAATTCTTATAAAACTCTGGTGTGGGGATGGGCTATGACATTGATCCAAAAAATAATTCCCATGCAGTCCCACCAGTTTCATAACTTACAAGGAAACAGATAAGCTACAGAGAGCTGCGAGTCCTGGAGTATTTACACCGAGGAGGGCAGGAGAGAACAGGAGACAAAGCAACACGTGAACAGATATTTACAATATGGACATACAGGCCCCCTCGCCTCACGGTAACGGCAGCAGCAACAGCAGGAGGTCAGGCCTGTGGTGCTCAGAGGCCGATATAGAATATGGGTTATTTACAGTATCTCACATATTAACAGCTTTACAAACATGTCCAGGGAGTTCTCCTCATGTATAAAAAAAAAAAGCACCAAGTGTCTGAATAGAAATCACAGGGGCCTCCACGGGGGCTAGAATCTGAGGGCAGGCTGGCACCTGTGGCGTCACCGGCTGATGTCTCTGCTAGAGTCCCACATTTTTGTGCTCGGCTCCATCTCCAACATGTCAAAGAAGGGGTGCTTGAGGGCTTCGGCCAGGGTGATGCGCTTGGAGGGCTCGTACTCCAGCATGCTCTCAATGAGGTCAAAAAGGCGGTGGTGGTCCTCAGCCTCAGAGGTCAGGTATCGCTGGGGAGATGGAGGGGAGAGATTAGGGCCAAGGGTGCTGCACCCTGTCCCATCACAGTACATTCCCTGGGCTGAATGGTTGAGCAGGGGGGAAGACTGGTTTGTTCAGACCGCCACTCATCCTAGACCTGAACTCTGGGCCACTTTACCAAGCATGGAATTGCTGAGTTTTCCCCACCCCACCACCTTTCCCAGGCACTTCCTGAGGTCTCCGTGCCCTCCTCCTCCGCTCCAGATTAAGCTCAGTTGATGTAGTCTTCCTAGTTTATGTCTGGGACAGCCAAGGCTCCTTCAGGAAGACACTGGTCTGACCCTTTTAGTGGCCCAGCCTTGCCCTCGGGGAGAATCTTCACAACCGGGGCAGGCACTACAAGACTCTGCAATGAGAAGAGGATAAAGCAATCGGATGCTCCTGCCCCCCCCGCCTTACCCGCAGCGGCTTGCAGTTCTCCCTAACGTAGCGGCCAGCGGAGGTGTTCTCGTCCCAGTCCAGGCGGCCATGGTAGAAATATTTCTGTTTCCTGTCAGAGTAAGGAATGGGGACAGGTTACACCCAAGCACAAAGCATCCTGCAGCAACAGCAACGTGCCAGCCCTGGCAGCACACGCCACTCGGGACACTGCAGCAGCAGCATGGATAATTGGCTCAGCAGGCAGCTTCAAAGCTCGATCCCTCAGAAAGAACAGTTATACATGAAGCGGGAGAGAGTTGGCAAGCCTGCGGTGCCCAGCCGGCCTTGCTCACCTCGTCTTCCGGATCATCCGAGAAGGAATTGGCCCCAAGATCCTCTCCATCATGGCCAGATGCTCCCGGTTGTCATGTGTCTGAGAGAGAGAAACGTAAAGGGAAGGCATGGACCAGATTTCAGTCGTTCTACCTCCAGCCCTGGGTGTTCCCCAGTTCAGAACCCCTTGCTGGGCAACACCTTGGTCATCTCTACAAGACTGCAGTGATGGAGGGAACCCCATCAGTCCCAGAGGTTCCTGGCTGTACTGGGAAACAGCCAGCATCCTCTTTCATCAGTTGTGAGGTAGCCATACAGCATACAGTTCTCACCTGAAACAGGGTGAAACCCACATAATACTCAAAGATGATGCAGCCAATGCTCCACACATCACAGGGCTGGCTCCAGCCAAGCTCTAAAAAACAATGTTTTTTAAATAAAAGATCCAGTTACGGCCTAAGATTCCAAATCCCTCACCCTCTTAAAAACAAACAACTTGGAAAAACAATTCCCATTGCAGCCAGGCTCCCGACACGCTGGTGACAATATACTGCCCAGCTGGTAGCAATGCCAAAACACCAACTTGTAAATTGTTGACCCTCCCAGAAAATAGAGTGCAGAGCATGTTAAATAAAGCACTTCTCATCTCCCAGGGTAAACCCAGGGCAGCTACTGGATGATGGGGAGGCAAAATGCTCCTTAATCCATCAGGCAGCACCCAGTGCCCCCGAGGCGAGCGCCCGCCTCTGCAAGGACCAAGCGGTACCTACCCAGTATGACTTCCGGGGCCCGGTAATGCCTGGTCGAGACAATCGTGCTGTGATGCTCATGATCAAACGTGGCGCTGCCGAAGTCCACCACTCTGATGGCTGTGCTCTTCACGCTCCGCTCATCCCGCTTCTTCACAGGGGAGAATGGGATTGGTTACTCAGGAGTTTCGAAATGCAAGCTCAGCCCTTTCCTTACACAGCTGAGGCTTCGCCCCAGGGCACCACGCGAGGGGAAGGCTTGGGAGCGTACTTCGTGCTGGCACAGCCCCCACACCATCACGCAGGTACACCTGTGCTCCCTATTGCTTACTTATAGACTACACATGCCGCTCGTGCAGAATACGTGCATGAACGTTGTTTGTCAGCCCTGTGTCTCCCGGGGGCCAATGTTCCAACCCCTCCCACTGCCTGGTAAGGTCAGGGACACCAAGAACCCAAGAGAAGACCTCTGACACAAGGCAGCACCGTTACCTTTTCCAGGTTATAGGAGAGTTCGTAGTCCGAATTCACAAAGAGGATGTTCTCCGGCTTGAGGTCAGTGTGAGTGAGTTTATTGTCATGCAGAACTGAGGAAGCAAACAGAGTTGGGGTGATGGAACAGAAGCCAAATGAGGCTGCACCCACCCAAAAAGCGAACATCATTCATTCAGTTTGCTCATACTGGCACCAGTTTAGCCCACACTTAGAACTGGGTGTGGACAGTCAGGCTGGTCCAGGCCTGCCAAGATGCTTTGGCAGAAGCACAAAGATTTATCGTATCGATCACCAGAACGTGGGGGTGGATGCTGAAGTACCCTGAGCTACCGCCAGCCCACATGCACCGGATAACATTACAATCAGGAAAAGAAAAAGGATTCATTCCAAGCACGCATTCACTGCTGGAGGGGCAGGAAGGCTCAGTCTCAGAACTGGCACAGCAGCACCGCAGCAAAAACTCACTGCTTTGGGCCACCAGTTGCAGAACTGGCACGGACCTTGGGAGCTTCCCAAGGACCAGTGGAGGGAAGAGCAGTGAACACTTACATTTCACAGCCTGGCACACCTGGTAGGCCATGTGCCGTACTTGGTGGATGGGGTAAGGCAGATAGTTGTTGTCCTTCAGGAAATCAAAGGTGCTGAGCCCCAGCAGCTCGAAGGAGATGCACATGTGGCCGTGGTAGTCAAACCAGTCAAACATCCTGACACAAAGACTGAGAGAGAAAAAAAATTCTGATTCAGGACAGATCTGCATGCGCTGCGCAGTGATGTCATCCCCACGCCAGGCTCCTCCTTTCCTTGCTCAGTCTGTATCCCACAGCAAACCTGTACGCCTCCAAAAGCCAGCTACAGACGAGTTCAGTCGCACAACCTCAAGCACCTCTCTCATCCCATCCCTGCAACTGTGCTAAGGCAACGCTTGCCCTTCCATTTTAACACCAAGAGCACACTCACTTTGTGTTCTCGGGATCCTTCTCGTTGATTTTCTCCAGCACGTTAATTTCCAGTCGAGCAGCCTCTTTGTATTTCTCTACATTTTTAATGATTTTGAGAGCAACACGTGCACCACCCCTAGGGAGAAACAGGAAGAAAGTGCAAGATCACCCCTGAGCTGGGTCAGAGCGCCTGTGCCCTGTGAAAAGGGCTTCCTGATCCAGCCTCATCCTGCGAGGAGCGCAGCACAGCCTTCCACCACCCTTGCCCAAGCCAGAAGGCAGCCCTTATTAAGGGGTGTCTGCCAAAGCCGTGTCTTTTCCCTCCCTACAAACAGCCCTGAGGCTCCCCCCAACCCCTCTCCAACACATGGGCAACGCAAGAGGGCGAATGCCCACACGAGCAGAAGAATACGGGAAACAAAGTGACTCCTTTTCACCCCCAGGCTCCCACGTTAAGCACAGAGGGCTCTGTCACCAGCTGCGGTCTCTCTTTTTCCCCCTCACCACCATTCTCTCCCTGTCCCAGGAGCAGACATACCTCCGGTGATCGATGCACTGCACCACTCTGCCGAACGTGCCTTCCCCTAAGGTGCTAATAATCTCATCTGGGAGGGAGAGAAAGAAAGGAAGGCAGATGAGGGAATGAGCAGGACCTGGATGCAGCGCATACACAAGGCAGAGGAGAATGCATTGCAACACCTAACCTGCACACAGCTTGAGAGACCGGAGCAGCGGAAGGCTGACACCGGCTGCACAAGGCAACTGCCCTAATTCCCTGGCACTTCAGTAACAATACAAAATATAAACGTAGCTTTAACAAAAGGGGAAGGAAAAGGAGAGGGTTTCTCTTTAATAAACAATGAAAATAAAATGAAACAGAAAGATAAGACAGATCTGCGACTGCGATGGGAGCTTAACTAGAGAGCTAAATTATGTTACGATTTGGCTGTACATCTTTCTTGTAGCCAGTCGCCGACGCGATAGATCAGATGCCCCTCGTCGTCGTCCTCCACACTCTTGGCCCTTCTGCTGCTCTGTCGACTCCGCTGCTGGCCCAGGCAGACAGGGAATTCATCATTCACCAATCAGATTTTCAAACCAGCGCAGCAGCCAGCGTCACGCATTGGTTGGTTTGGAAATTCACATGGTTGTTTGAGGAGGGGTTGCAGGAGGAGATTCCCAGCCAATTCATACGGCACAGAGGAATATATAACGATAGGGATATTGCAAGGGAACATGTCAAGATACAACACACTAGCTCAGAAAAGAAAAAAACAGTTTGCTTTTCGTTGTAGCAAAAAAAAGAAAAAAAAAAAGAAAAAAAAGAAAAAAAAGAACCTACAAACAGCCCCACCCGAACCAGTGTGAGAGCAGAGACGGTCAGAACAAGGGCTAGCGGAGGGGCAGTGGAAGGGGCCAGCTCCTCTCGCTCCTAGGGGGGCTCGGAGAGGAACGGCACTGGCCTTCGGGTCGTGGATAACACCAAGAGAGCACGCCGAAGCACAACTCTGCAGCCGGGCACTCAGGGGCCGCGGGGAGAGGCTCACGGCAGGCCCCCGGCAGCCACTGAGGAAAGGCAGCAGAAGGCAGGCGCTGGGAAGTCCTGCACAAGCAAAGGGCCGGGCTGCCCCACACAGGCACTCCCCATCCCATTCCAACAACCACCCACATCGCTTCCCCCAGCCCCAACACTCAGAACAAGAGGAATTCAGAGATTTCAGAAGCAACTCTCGGCACAACGATCCATCCAAAACCAGAGAGAATTTATGAGTGACTGCCTGGGGGAAGACGTGACACTTCTTCCTAGACCCTCCCCCAAAGAGGCTGATCCTGGAAGGACTAACTTCCAGGAGAGAAGCAGAGGCCCAACAGGGAATAGGGACAGCCTGGGATGAGGCAGATAAAGAGGTTTATGCCAGAGAAGAGAAAATTCCTGCCTTTAGTTCTTCAGCTAAGTGTCCCCACACCTGGGAGCAACCGGCCAGCAGACCTGGGACCCGAATCCAGCCCACAATCCCATCCCTGGACATACAGCCAGAACAGACCAGACAACACTGAGAGCTCCACACAGAGAGCAGAGAACGTGGCTGGGGTCTAACAGAAGTGGAAGGTGAACAGCAGAACAGACAAGAAGAGAAAGGCAGGGACCCTGCTGGGAAGAGCCTGTGATGGTTGCTGCCTCCACCTGAATTGACCGGTCCAGAAGCTCTACTCCTTCGCAAAGCCCCTCGCACGACATCCCACGTCAGCTGGGCCCACCCAGATGGATCCTGCTCTGACACAGGACCCAACCCTCAGAGATGGGGCAGGGGGGGGCTTCCTGCCTCAGAACACAGGCCTGAACCACGGGGACCAAGCCGCCTGTCACAGGCAGACCGAGCTCTCTGGGACCGAGATCAGCTGAACGCTTGCTGTACAAACCTCGCACAAAAGACTGCTTGGCTGCGGTTCCCAGACAGCTCTTAATGAGCAGCACCGAACAAAAGCAGCGCTCTGCAGGGATAAAGGAGCCGAGGACTGCAGCACCACCCCGGGGGACACGCCAGCCTCGCAAGGCACGCCTGTCCTCCTCCCACCTCTGAGCGGGCAACACTAAGAGAGGGTCTGAGCCGCCTGTGCCCGGCTGGCACAGGGCAGCCGCTGCCGAGGCGCGTCAGGATGGTGGACAGGAGCTGCCGTCTGCATCAAAGGCTTTCTACGCATTTCTCAAGCTGAGTCCGAGAGAGCGTTAGAAAGTGAAGTTTTCTACTTACCCAGCTCGCCACCTGGGAGAGAAAGGTTACAGGGGAGGCCCAGCACAGCAGGATACTCACCGATGAGGAGCGACTAAAGGACCGGCTGCGGCGCCGCCTCCGCCTGTGCTTACGCCGGCTGCTTTTGCAGCTCCGGTAGCTGCCCTCGCGGTCCCGGGAGCGTCGGTACTCGTAGGAATGACGGTACTCGGGTTCATAGTAGGCTTCCCCTCGCTCGCGGCTGTAATCGTTCCGCCGGTAGCTGTCACAGTAACGCCGGTCGTAGGCCCTCCTGTCTGCTGAGTGGTCATCGTAGCTAGGGAGGGGGAGCAAGCCGAGGGGATTTGATTACGGACACCACCCGGGAAGTTACAGCTTGGAGCACAGGAGAGAGCAGGGCCCAGGCCACCCAGAAGCTGGGCTGGCCACAGCTGCCTCCGGCCGAGGCGGAGAACCACCGCAGGGTTTGAGGTCCCGCCTCGTCTTTGCAGACTCACCTCCGGGATCGAACATGGTAACTGTCTTCCCGACGGTGCCGACGGTCACGCTCGCTGCTGCTCGATCGCGACCGTGTCCGCCGTCTCTTGTGTTTGCGACTTCTGTAGCGCTCATGATAGCTGCCTCGGCTGCTGCGCTCCGACGAGCGGTACCTTCTAGAGTGAGGCATCTACAGGGACAACAGACAGTGATGACTTTGTGTGGCAATTAGCAGGGAGAGAAACCAGCGCAGACCATGGGTGGCTGAGGAGCTGCTAGAACAAGGAGGGGGGAGGCGAGCAGCAGCACGTCCAAGTGGGCAGAGACGATTTGAGAGGGAGGGGACGAACTTCCGAGAGATCACAGAACCCCGTAGGAGAGAGGATGCGACCACCCACATGGGCTGCACTTGCTGCGGTTCTGTTTTCCAGGTTACTTTCCCCTCTTTGTGCCCATCTCTGCTGGCCACAGCTCCGGGAGCAGCATTTACACCTCCAGGGCTTCCACCTTCTCTCTTTACACAAATGCGCTCCCCAGGAAGGAGAGAAGCACCACCAAGGAAATCCAAAGGAAGGTGAAATGAAGCTCGGGATATCACCGGTGCTTGGCCCAAAGTCCTCGCACGCCCGTACTGGAGACACCTAAGTGGGCAGCTCCTGGAGAGGTATCTCTGGTTTGCTGCCAAGCAAGAGACAGCTACGCTTCCCACTGCAAGCGGGGAGGGCCCTGCAGCATCCAGGGAGCAAAACCACCCTTTCCACATGCAGAGGCCTTAATGAAGCCTTGTAGGCCCTACCTCAGAGGGAAGGAGCGCTCACCTCTCCCTCTCTGGTGGGACACGAGAGGCAAGAGCGAAGGAGAAAATCCCTTGGTAAGACCGGCACGCCGGGTCCCAACCCGGACGCGCTCGTTCGGAGGATCCCGCTCCCATCACCAGACCTCACTCCACAACTCTAAGACGTTCCCCGCACATATTTGGTTCTGAAGCATCAAGCGCCTCAACCTGCCTTGTCTCCACAGGCTGGAGCTCCCTTTGCCTGCAGGCCTCCCACCCGTGACCCCCCCCGCAAAGCCTCACTCACAGCCCCAGCGGCCCCCCCGCGCCCTCC